TCTAGTGGTCAGATTATAAACATTCCCCGGTCTAGTGGTCAGAAGATAACCAATTTCCGGTCTGATATAAACATTTCCCGGTCTAGTGGTCAGATTATAAACATTTCCCGGTCTAGTGGTCAGATTATAAACATTCCCCGGTCAGCTGGTCTGAGGATACAACGACACTAGGAGAGGATATTGCCCTCCTTCCTCCCTCCCCCTTCGTGTTGCATATATTGACTGCCATATTGCAAAACTCCGGAAAATCATGTCAGAGTGTAAAAAGTGATGAGGTGACAGGGTGGATGAGGTGGGTGATGGGGTGGATGAAGTGAGGTGATAGGATGAGGTGGGTGATGGGGTGGATGAGGTGGGTGATGGGGTGGATGAGGTGGGTGATGGGTGGATGAGGTGGGTGATGGGGTGGATGAGGTGGGTGATGGGGTGGATGAGGTGGGTGATGGGGTGGATGAGGGTGCCCAGGTGATGGGGTGGATGTGGGTGATGGGGTGGATGAAGTGGTGATAGGATGAGGGTGGGTGATGGGATTGGATGGAGTGAGGTGATGGGATGAGGTGGGTGATGGGGTGGATGAATTGAGGTGATGGGATGAGGTGAGTGATGGGGTGGATGAGGTGGGTGATGGAGTGAGGTGATGGGATGAGGTGGGTGATGGGGTGGATGAATTGAGGTGATGGGATGAGGTGAGTGATGGGGTGGATGAGGTGGGTGATGGAGTGAGGTGATGGGATAAGGTGGGTGATGGGGTGGATGAGATGGAGGAATTGGATGTAGGAAGAAGAGAATTTTCAAGATAGTGTTGTGTTCTGGTGGATGACAATTTCTTTTCTTATCTCATTCTCTCCCCCTGGGTGAGGAGAACATGGTGTAGATCTCTCTCTGTCTCTCTCTCTCACCCGGGATCTCACCTGTCGTTTTAACAGGTCGAAATCTGGAAGGTATGAGATTTTGGGAGAGTTTTGAATGACGTGTATACCAGCTGGGAGACGTGTAAACCAACTGGTGTAACACGTCCTAACCAGCTGGGAGACGTGTAAACCAACTGGTGTAACACGTCCTAACCAGCTGGGAGACGTGTAAACCAACTGTTGTAACACGTCCTAACCAGCTGGGAGACGTGTAAACCAGCTGTTGTAACACGTCCTAACCAGCTGGGAGACGTGTAAACCAACTGTTGTAACACGTCCTAACCAGCTGGGAGACGTGTAAACCAACTGGTGTAACACGTCTAACCAGCTGAAGAACGTGTAAACCAACTAGTGTAACACCTCTAACCAGCTGAACGTGTGCAAACCAACTGGTGTAACACGTCCTAACCAGCTGGGAGACATGTAAACCAACTTCAGTGTAACACGTCTAACCAACTTTGGAGACATCAACAAACCAACTGGTGTAACACGTCTAACCAGCTGGGAAGACGTAAGCCAACTGTTGTAACACGTCTAACCAGCTGGGAGACGTGTAAACCAACTGGTGTAACGTCCTAACAGCTGGGAGACATTCTTCAACCAACTGTTGTAACACGTCCTAACCAGCTGGGAGACGTGTAAACCAACTGGTGTAACACGTCCTAACCAGCTGGGAGACGTGTAAACCAACTGGTGTAACACGTCCTAACCAGCTGGGAGACGTGTAAACCAGCTGTTGTAACACGTCCTAACCAGCTGGGAGACGTGTAAACCAACTGTTGTAACACGTCCTAACCAGCTGGGAGACGTGTAAACCAACTGGTGTAACACGTCCTAACCAGCTGGGAGACGTGTAAACCAACTGGTGTAACACGTCCTAACCAGCTGGGAGACGTGTAAACCAACTGTTGTAACACGTCCTAACCAGCTGGGAGACGTGTAAACCAGCTGTTGTAACACGTCCTAACCAGCTGGGAGACGTGTAAACCAACTGTTGTAACACGTCCTAACCAGCTGGGAGACGTGTAAACCAACTGTTGTAACACGTCCTAACCAGCTGGGAGACGTGTAAACCAACTGGTGTAACACGTCCTAACCAGCTGGGAGACGTGTAAACCAGCTGTTGTAACACGTCCTAACCAGCTGGGAGACGTGTAAACCAGCTGTTGTAACACGTCCTAACCAGCTGGGAGACGTGTAAACCAACTGGTGTAACACGTCCTAACCAGCTGGGAGACGTGTAAACCAACTGTTGTAACACGTCCTAACCAGCTGGGAGACGTGTAAACCAACTGGTGGCAACACGTCCTAACCAGCTGGGAGACGTGTAAACCAACTGGTGTAACACGTCCTAACCAGCTGGGAGACGTGTAAACCAGCTGTTGTAACACGTCCTAACCAGCTGGGAGACGTGTAAACCAGCTGTTGTAACACGTCCTAACCAGCTGGGAGACGTGTAAACCAACTGGTGTAACACGTCCTAACCAGCTGGGAGACGTGTAAACCAACTGTTGTAACACGTCCTAACCAGCTGGGAGACGTGTAAACCAACTGGTGTAACACGTCCTAACCAGCTGGGAGACGTGTTGAATACCTGTATCCAAAGTCGAATTATACCAATGTCAACCCTTGCTCACGAGGCGGAGCTGATCATGTGACGTCGGTGGCCGCAGTTGAAGAAAAAGAGAGTAAGGGTGAGACTCGTATATCATCAGGGGTGAGACTGTATTAGAAGATATTCTTACCATAATTCCTGGTTCTCTCACCCCCTGGCTCACCGTCTCTCAGTCACCCACTTGAACTTCTCATGTAATCAGTATCTATATGATATTCCTAATCTCAAAAGGAATACAAGAATTTAAATAAAATAGTTGAAGAGAGAGGTAAACTAGGCCAGCCCTGCAGACCAACATGACGACTCTCGCACGATGGTGTTGCAGCCTCACGTGTATAGAGCCCGGTGATAGTCTCTTATTTGGTGATATATGCAATTCTTGTAGCATCTGTCTGGGAGGATGTTTTGGTGATGTTTGTGTGAGTCTTTTGTTGATGTTTTGTTCTGTTTGTTCTGTTTGTGTGAGTCTTTTGTTGATGTTTTGTTCTGTTTGTGTGTTTGTGTTTTGTGTTTGTTTTATGTGTATTTGCTTGTTATTTGTTTGTGTTTGGTCCTATAAATGCTGTTTTATTTAAAAATATTCTACCACTGTAGTGTGTGTGTGTGTGTGTGTGTGTGTGTGTGTGTGTGTGTGTGTGTGTGTGTGTGTGTGTGTGTGTGTGTGTGTGTGTGTGTGTGTGTGTGTGTGTGTGTGTGTGTGTGTGTGTGTGTGTGTGTGTGTGTGTGTGTGTGTGTGTGTGTGTGTGTGTGTGTGTGTGTGTGTGTGTGCGGTTTGTTTACATGTTTCTGTGTGTCTTGTTTGTTTTGTTTCCATTGTTTGTGTTGTATCTCTTTCAGGTCTTTCTCTCTACACCTATTTCTCTCTCTCTCTCTCTCTCTCTCTCTCCTCTCTCTCTCTCTCTCCCTCTCTCTCTCTCTCTCTCTTTCTCTCTCTCTCTCTCTAACTCTCTCTCTCTAACTCTCTTCCTCAACTATCTCTAAAGTAACCTCAAGTATCTATGTATCTCTCTCACATGTCTCTCACCTCTCACCCGTGTCTCTCACTTCTCTCCCACAGACGGTAGTAAGAGAGATGAACCGCCTGGGGCTGATGGTAGATCTCTCACATGTGTCTCAAGCGACCATGAAGGAGGCGCTGGAGGTGTCGAATGCGCCGGTCATCTTCAGCCACTCCTCCGTGTATTCCATCTGTAAGAACCCGAGGAACGTCCCCGACCACATCCTGAAGAAGGTGGTGAGTAGAGAGAGAGAGAGAGAGAGAGAGAGAGAGAGAGAGAGAGAGAGAGAGAGAGAGAGAGAGAGAGAGA